GCCAGCATCATGACCAACTCGGGCATTGAAGTCACCCAACATGATGACTCTATCCCGAGGGGCCACTTTAGCCAGCACCTGTGACAGGAGGTCATAGAAGGCATCTGACTCATCGGCTTTGCCTGCATGTCAATAAAGCACACACGTTCACTCACACGCACACATGGACCTACAGACACGCAAAGAAATGGACTTACACGGACTCACATAGAGCCACAGACACAAAGCGACTAACACACACGCCCATGGACTGACACACAGACATATCGACTCGCACACACAAACACATGGACTTGCACACGCATAGACATCCACTTTATATACACACACATGGAATTACACACACATATATGGACGTAGACACATACAGCGACACACACACACATCGACTCACACACAGATATACGTGGACTCACAGACAGATTGACGTAAACACACATGTACTTACACACACACATATCGACTAAGACACACACACATGGACTTACACACACATACATAGACTGACACACACATTGCCCTACACACACATACACATGGACTGTGTCACACGGACATCTACTTTAGATACACACACATGGATTAACACACACACATCGACTCACACACACGCATTGACTTACACACACACACATCGAGTGACACACACACATGTATGGACTTACACACGTGGACTAACAAACACACATATGGACTGACACACACACATCGACGTACACACACACATGGACTAACACACACACAGCGACTGATACACAAATGGACTGACACGCACACTTGGACTGACACGCAAACACTTGGACGCACACACACATCGGGCATTATCCAATCGTAAAAGGCAGACACACACATGGACTTAAACACACGCATGGACCTACACGTGCACACATATGGACTCAAACACACACACACACATCGACTCGCACACACACACACATTGACGTGCACAGCAATCCCCGATGACGGCACAGCTCTCAGTGTCGCAGTACTCCGTATGAGTAAATAGCGTGACATGAGCAATGGAAACAATGGAAATGCATTGAAGAAATAAGCAAAAAGCAGTGTAAATTAAAGAGCAGTAGTACGCACATGTAAGTTGAGAAGCAGGCTACAGTTTAGATTATAGACTGCCAGTGCGTCTACTCAATGACATGAGCATTGCTACAGTCGACATGAAAAGCTGCCAATACAGGCAGCAGCTGAAAAAGCAGGATACAGTCAACAAGAAAAGCTGGGAGTACACTGAGTGAGGTAAAGAAGCAGGCAACAGATTATAGACTGGCATACACTCATAATGGTCAAAAGGAAAATTAGCAGTGTAGATAATAGAGTGGCAGTGCACTGACGTTAATTAATCAGCAGGCAGCAGACCACATGACAGACTGGCAATACACCATCGCAGCGTGATAAAAGCACAGCTAAAAAAAGGGAATATTTATCAAGCTAATGATGAAAATTTTGTTTTGTGCACACAAACATCATTGTGATATCTGGCAACGTATTTGTTTCACAATAGTAAGCAATGAACCAGAGTTTCATAGCTCCCATACTTCTGGACATTCAAGAAAAGTTCAAATTAGTGCGCTATAGGGCCCACAAGTCACAGATGTTAACATTCTTAGCATTCTGCTGAAAAGAAAACAAAATAAGAAAAGCCCACTGAGCAGTAAACAAAAACCCAGTCACATTTGGGCCTGACAATGTCACAATGTGACTTGTAACAGATAGTTACTCATAATAAAGGTTTTTGGGTTAGATCGCATCTTATATATAAAAGTCTCCGCGCGCACGCTTGCGAGGAATTTGGCTCTCGGACGGTGGGCTTGACGTCCAAAAAAATTTGCCAGGCAGCACGCCCTAAGTCCCGGGGGTGGGAATAGGCCATTCCGTTTCGCATCCCTAAACTTTAAAGTAGTTTAATTAACAAATTTGTGACATTCTTATTTAAATTATTTACCTATTGCGTGACATCGACCGTACCAACTGACAATTGCGTGGGGGGGGGGGCGGACCCTACCAAGTGATGCGCGTTCGGTCGAGCTCACGGGGGACATATCATTTTACGCGTTTAACATGCAATAAATATACACGTCACGCTGCGGATTTTTCTTCACAGTCTCATGTCCTCTTCGCCCCCCCCTCCCCAAAAAAAAAAACACGTCCAGTTTCTACAACAGAGTCCGTAGATAATAATATAGTGCTTAAATACCATTATTATTGCACGGGCGGGGGGGATGGGTGTGGGGGTAGTGGCCCAGCCTGCCAACGTGTTACCTCCCCCGCCTGGGCAATGTAGGCCAGGACGGGGGCTCCGCACCGGCCTAGGCCTGACCAAGCCTGTGGTAAGTACAAATTTCCTTGCTTCTTACGCTAAGAACTCGGGTTCATTGTTTACTATTATTAAACAAATACGTTGCCAGATATTACGATAATTATTTTTGTGTGCACATAGGAACTCTGGTTCATTGCCTACTATTACGAAACAAATACGTTGCCAGATATTACAATGATGTTTGTGTGCACAAAACAACATTTTCATTATTAGCTTGACAAATATTCCCTTTTTTAGCTGTGCTTTTATCACGCTGCGACGGTGTATTGCCAGTCTGTCATGTGGTCTGCTGCCTGCTGATTATCTACACTGCTAATTTTCCTTTTGACCATTATGAGTGTATGCCAGTCTATAATCTGTTGCCTGCTTCTTTACCTCACTCAGTATAAGATGCGTTCTAACCCAAAAACCTTTATCATGAGTAACTGTCTGTTACAAGTCACATTGTGACATTGTCAGGCCCAAATGTGACTGGGTGTTTTTTTTACTGCTCAGTGGGCTTTTCTTATTGTTTTCTTTTCAGCAGAATGCTAAGAATCTTAACATCTGTGACTTGTGGGCCCTATAGCGCACTAATTTGAACTTTTTTGAATGTCCAGAAGTATGGGAGCTATGAGGCAATGTAAATGGTCTCATAAATAACACATGGTCTCCACTACCTCCAAGATTTATTGTTCCTCTGCAATATATCACTCACTGCGACCGCAAGACATTACACATATATCAACTGTTTGTCATAAATATACAGTACGTACGGGATACAATTATTAGTCCACTGCTCTAATACAATGCACTTTGCAAAATAAGAATTTAGTTACGTCATAGAGAAATTGTATAACTTTCCACTGATATGCAGCTTGGTCTGTAATGTAAAAAAAATTAATGATACTTGATATGCAAGCATTGTCACTATCTTGATTTCATCTTGATTTGAAGCTTTCGTGACTGCAGGAATCCATACTCTGGTTCTTTCGGTAAAGTCACGTAGGTAGAAAAATATTTTTTTTTTTTAATAAATATTTTTCTACCTCTTTGGTTCTTTCGGTAAAGTAAATAAATATTTTTTATACCTACGTGACTTTACCGAAAGAACCAAAGAGTATGCGTTGTCACTATGTGGCACAGTTATAAAAGTATACAATGGTCTTGATTTGAAGCTTTCGTGACTGCAGTAATTCATATTCTTAGTTTTTTCGGTAAAGTCACGTTTAAGGGAAACAACAAAATTGTTTTATATATATTTTATTATTTTGTTGTTTCCCTTCAACGTGACTTTACCGAAAAAACTAAGATTATAATATACAATGGTCCTTGACAATGGCTACAAATAAATTCAGCCTGAGCAAATTACCAAAAGAGACAGCACTTAATTACCATGGTTAGTGTATATGTGACAATATTAGTTTGGAAATGTGTGTGTGTGTATTAACCATAAATATATACGCTGTGTAGTTGACAGTGGACGCAAAAGATCCAGTTATGGCATTCACAAGAATAGGCCATTGTGTGTGCTGGCCTCATCTCCATATATATAAAAGGCAAAGTTGTGAATATGTGTGTCTGTTCAAAATGTTTAGCGTACTTCCCGACATGCAACAAACTTGAAATTTGACATGTGGGTACTTTCCAGACTGTACACCATGCACAAATTATGAAAATACACTTTTTTTTTGGGGGGGGGGGGGAGCTCAATAATGCATATATTTTTGGCACGGCAAGTGAGCTGTGACGTCAAATCTGTCACGTGACCCGCGCATGTGGAAGCCTAACGTATTGTAGTGTAGTGGTTAGCGCGCTGCGCTGCGAACCCGGCGACCTGAGTTCGATTCCCGCTCACTCGCAAAAAAGAAAAGGAGTCCAGATAGGCCGCCGAAATTCTAGTGATCTAAATTTGACATTCATAAATTACCCGCTCATTACTCAATTGGGATTATACACCACAATCATTTCCCCTGACTGTGAGACTAATGTTCACTTGCAGGCTGGTACTGAGTCACCTTGTGCCGCAGAGGAACAAAGCTGCCTTTAGGGGGGGTCCACTAAGCTAAAACTGCGGTCTGGGATGCAGTGTTATGTAATGGGCGCAATATAAATACTGCACATCTCGTGAAAAAGAGCTTCATATTTCATGCAAGTATTATTCATGAGGTCTGTACATCTTCTAGGATTATTACATTGAGGTAACAATTGATACGCAGATGATGAATGAAAATACCTGCAGTAATTCAACAGGTTAAATGGTATACAGGGTTCTTCAAAAAATGTTAACACTTATATGGGAATATCGTTTTTAATGGAAAAAAGAACGGATAATACACTGTAACATGATAACATATGTATTTTATAGCTTCAAAAAGTCAGTCTCCACTTGTTCGCCATCATTGTCAACACACGCCTGGAATCTTCTCCAGGTGGTCTCCAGAGCCCGGAGGCAGCACATTTCTTGTTGCAAATTCTCGGAAGTGTTAACATTTTTTTGAAGCACCCTGTATTGTGGTATCTGGTAGCAGTCCTACAGATAACGTATGTTGTTGCAAAACTAGCACTCGATACAGACACACAGTCTGGCGACACTGTAGATTAGAGCTGCCGCCTTCCGTCCAGGATCAGCATGTGTGAACTGTGCGGCCCTGCCGCTCTTGCCGATGTGTGTCCGTGTGTCCCACAGCGTACAGCCTTGCCAAAGAGCAGAGGCTGAACTTTGGGGATGACATTGCCAGTGCGCTACGGATGGCCAAGAAGCGCAGGTGGAGCAGCTTGGAGGAGAAGAGGATCCAGCAGGAGATTGAGCTGCAGGCCTACCTCAACAGGCTCATCACGGAGCAGAAAGAACGGTAGGCAGGTGTCGCCATTGCCTTCCTGTCGAACATGTCGCTGTTGATAACAATAGAGTAAAAGTGTAAAGTCACAGTGATTTTTTTTGTATTTAAAGCTTTCGTGACTGCAGCGATTCATATTCTTTCAAATGCTTCTTGCCGTTGGTTTTTCACACCTGATGATGACTCTTTGTGTTACAGTCGAAACGTCGTGAGAATTTTATTGTTTTATATATATTTTATTATTTTATTGTTTCCCTTCAACGTGACTTTACCGAAAGAGCCAAGAATATGAATCACAGTGATTTCGTGTTCAAATGAGCATTGAGAAGCTGCTCATCTCTTGAGCCATTGGTGGAAATTCTACATTCCTATAGTGGATGCGAGTCTATCCATAGGACTCCCATTGTTAAATTCTTCACAAAGTGGTACCCATTTTATCAACCCTGGAGGGATGATGAGCTGAGTCAACCCCTCAAACAGGATTTCTGTTCACTCTACCACTTGGCCACCAATTCTATGATCAAATCAACTGGAATGCACCGGATTTTTATAGAACTTAGAGACGCTAAGCAGGGTTGAGACTGGATAGTGCTAGGATGGGTGACTGTCATGAATAACAGGTGTGAAAGGCTGTAGGGTTATATGTTGGGCAGCAAACGGCGGTACAGAAACATCAATGGGGTTTCTCTACTTTCTGTGTTCCCACATCTATGCTCCCCACCTCCAGCTCGCAATGACCAGTGTGGTGAAATATGGTAAAATAACTCCCACAACCCACAGAGCTTGAGGTGGCCTTCATCCAGCAATGGATTGATAAAAATAAGGCTGCAGATGCATATCAGGTACTGCAGTGATCGCAGTGTAATTGGGATCATTGTTGTATATTACATTTGGCCATAGTGAGACGTATCTGGTTTGTTTAGCTATATGTTATTTTCCCCCATATTTTTTTTAAACAAAGTGTACCTCTTATGCCATCAGAATACTTATCATAGGAGAATATATTTCAGTTTATGCTCTCTTTTAAGAACTGGACAGTGTATCCTGGCAGTGAATGAGGCCACACAGAGTGTATTATTATGTTACGATGTGTTATCAGCACTGAAAATGACATAGTTGTAGAGGTCAGCGGTTTTGGGTTAACCTTGAACGCATCACTGAATTGATTGTGGTTGAGTGTTTGTCTTACAATATCTTAATTGAATACTCTAAGAGAATCAAATTTGTTCCACATTAGAATCTTTTATGAGACATTTACGTCTTGAGCTCTGAGTGTTGGCACCCAGCCACCTTAGATTTTGGACATTTAGTGCACCTGTCCTATTGATAGACTAACCACTGTCATAGGAATCTTTAATTTCCACTACTGGATCTGGGCTGTAATCAGCAGATGAGCACCACCAAATGCCCATTTAAGCACAAAATCAAGTTTGTGTTACTGTTGTATAAATGCATGTTATGTTGTGCCAATATTTAAAATACAGTACGAAACATGAGTGTAAAGAATAGGAATCTAACAGCGTTGGATTAATATAGATTCTTCTAGCTTGCGATACATGCATCAGATTTCATGTGTAAGAATCGATGAGTATTTGTTGTATGTAATGCGTTGGTGCGATCCCTGAGGTGGCTAGAGGCCGCCACATTCGCTAAAATAAAAAAAAATACATAATGGAACCTTTTTGCCAGTATCAATGTATGACAAAAAAATAGGTTTTACCCTTTCTGGCAATAAAAACACGTGTTAAGATGTTCAAATACCAAATAGAAACCTATTGCAAGGAATCAAGTTTGCATTAACCACACGTACTTGTGGTGAACATGCAAACAAACATGCTCTGATAATATATGCAATGTCTTTGAAACTGATTGGCCTACAACCAGAGACAGCCTTCTTTAGGGCCTAGTCTCACCAGTGTCAGATTACTTGATAAAGGTTTCTATTTGGTGTTTGAACATCTTAACACCTGTTTTTATTGCCAGAAAGGGTAAAACCTATTCTTATTTTTTCATAATATATACACATCTTTGAATTGAATCATGATCCTGAATCTAAGCATCTCCGTCGAATCAATGCATGACAGTTAAGTTCCTTCCATTGAAATGGTAATGGAGCCAAGGAAAGCCAGTGAGTGGAATTTTTGAAGAACAAATCTTCCCACAATGCATTGTGCCAGCAACACTATAAAATGTTACTCTCATACGAATGAGTGAATCAGCAACACTGGGTTATTTAAGTTTTTGACTGGTATTGACAGACTGAGTGAATAAAAAAAACGTTTTTTTACTCTGCCCCGCAGGGAAATAGAGGCATATAAAGAGAAGATAAAGAATGAAAAAGAGGAGCAATTGACATCTGACGATATTGAAAACATCGAAGGCAAGCATGTAAGTGGGATGTGAACTCTGCATCCATTCACTGCGTGGAGATTTGGTGCGCTATTTCATATTCTACTTGTATGTCTGACTTTTGCACTGTCATAGACAGTTTCTAGTGGATAGATAATTATTTTATGTTGTGAATATGTATTTGCATGTATTATATTATTATGAGTGCTCTCATAACTTTGTGGACCATAGCACCGACTGAATTCAAAGTAGTTGTGTGCATGCATACAGCTCTTCAAGATTTATTTTTACCATTCCAATCACTTCAATGGACTTTACTGTGGTTTACAAATTCCTTGCATCAGCTTTTGCGCTCATGTAGATTGGTTATAAAACTATCGACCATTAACATCAAATGCCTCCATCTGACATGTCAACTGTTCCCCAATTTGGTTTTTCTAATCAGTTTGGTGATGTGTTGGTTGTGACTGACGTGAACATGTGGATTTATTTTCACATTTTAATTAGTCTTCATGTAAGCTTGTAACTTTTAAAATAGCACACTAAAGACAACGACCAGCAATTTTGTTAAATGTGAATTTTTTTTTTATCATCACATTTGCTGAGCAAAGGGTCATCAACAAACACATGCATGTCAAGTCTCACAGGTTGCTCTTGAGACTCACGGTATCCCCCTCCCCCCTCCCATTATCCAGAAGTAGCTTTGCCCTCGTCTGCTTGACGGTTGAATGTTTCTGTTCCTCCGATTCTCAGTTTCTTAGGATTTTCCCAAGGTTTTTATGTCGGGGTTTCACTGACTTTTGAACCCTTTGGGGTTGATGTGTGTTGAAATTGTTTTTGTGTAAGATGGTTCTAAGTGTTACATTTTCTTAAAAGGTCAACTTTTGTAAAATCTATTTGCGGTCACGCATTAACTTCATTCGCATGCAGCGTGCCAAGTGAGCGCGAGTGTGCGGCTACATCTCCATCGTACCCAAGAATAATTTAACGATCACACAGGCGAGGGCACGTCTACTTTTGAAGAAAAGGGGAGTGGGGTTTTACCATACAGTGAGGGAAAAAAGTATTTGATCCCCTGCTGATTTTGTGCGTTTGCCCACTGACAAAGAAATGATCAGTCTATAATTTTAATGGTAGATTTATTTGAACAGTGAGAGACAGAATAACAACAACAAAAATCCAGAAAAACGCATGTCAAAAATGTTATAAATTGATTTGCATTTTAATGAGGGAAATAAGTATTTGACTCCTGCAAAACATGACTTAGTACTTGGTGGCAAAACCCTTGTTGGCAGTCACAGAGGTCAGACGTTTCTTGTAGTTGGCCACCAGGTTTGCACACATCTCAGGAGGAATTTTGTCCCACTCCTCTTTGCAGATCTTCTCCCAAGTCATTAAGGTTTCGAGGCTGACGTTTGGCAACTCAAACCTTCAGCTCCCTCCACAGATTTTCTATGGGATTAAGGTCTGGAGACTGGCTAGCCACTCCAGGACCTTAATGTACTTCTTCTTGAGCCACTCCTTTGTTGCCTTGGCCGTGTGTTTTGGGTCATTATCATGCTGGAATACCTATCTACGACCCATTTTCAATGCCCTGGCTGAGGGAAGGAGGTTCTCACCCAAAATTTGACGGTACATGGCCCCGTCCATCGTCCCTTTGATGCGGTGAAGTTGTCCTGTCCCCTTAGCAGAAAAACACCCCCAAAGCATAATGTTTCCACCTCCATGTTTGACGGTGGGGATGGTGTTCTTGGGGTCATAGGCAGCATTCCTCCTCCTCCTCCAAACACGGCGAGTTGAGTTGATGCCAAAGAGCTCCATTTTGGTCTCATCTGACCACAACACTTTCACCCAATTGTCCTCTTAATCATTCAGATGGTCATTGGCAAACTTCAGACGGGCATGTATATGTGCTTTCTTGAGCAGGGGGGGCGGACCTTGCAGGCGCTGCAGGATTGCAGTCCTTCACGGTGTAGTGTGTTACCAATTGTTTTCTTGGTGACTATGGTCCCAGCTGCCTTGAGATCATTGACAAGATCCTCCCGTGTAGTTCTGGGCTGATTCCTCACCGTTTTCATGATCATTGCAACTCCACGAGGTGAGATCTTGCATGGAGCCCCAGACCGAGGGAGATTGACAGTTTTTTTGTGTTTCTTCCATTTGCGAATAATCGCACCAACTGTTGTCACCTTCTCACCAAGCTGCTTGGCAATGGTCTTGTAGCCCATTCCAGCCTTGTGTAGGTCTACAATCTTGTCCCTGACATCCTTGGAGAGCTCTTTGGTCTTGGCCATGGTGGAGAGTTTGGAATCTGATTGATTGATTGCTTCTGTGGACAGTTGTCTTTTATACAGGTAACAAGCTGAGATTAGGAGCACTCCCTTTAAGAGTGTGATCTCAGCTCGTTACCTGTATAAAAGACACGAGGGAGCCAGAAATCTTTCTGATTGAGAGGGGGTAAAATACTTATTTCCCTCATTAAAATGCAAATCAATTTATAAATTTTTTGACATGCGTTTTTCTGGATTTTCTTGTTGTTATTCTGTCTCTAACTGTTCAAATAAACCGACCATTAAAATTATAAACTGATCATTTCTTTTCTTCTTTGGTTCTTTCGTTAAAGTCACGTAGAATGAGAATAAAATAATAAATTAATAAAATTAAATAACACAATAAAATTATCACGACGTTTCGGCCACAACACAAGTGGCCTTCATCAGGTGAAGGGACGAGACTGTCTCGAAGACAGCGCTGGAGCCAACACAGCCAAGCTCAGACCGTGACCGTTAAGCTGTGTGAGAAGAAACAGAGCGCCTTGACAAAGGAATTAGCAATAAAATTAGCATTTAATTGGCGGACTTAGCATGATGAACGGTGTAGAGGGGGTGAACATGTGCAGACCGGGGAGGGGGAGTTTACATATTGATGGTATGAAAAGGGAATTTAAGCTGCTGCGAAAGTTTGGGATACCACTACTTGAAAAAATATACTGCATCATTGAAAATTAGTTTAATGTTTGGTTTGGATAATTTAGCATTGAAATAGCTGCATCATTATCTTGTGACTGGTCACAGAAATGGTTATGTTAAAGTCAAAGCCTACACATCCACAGAGGCACCTAGTACAAATCAAACAGGAGAATTTAGCATTGAAATAACTGAGTGATTAGCTTGTGACTGGTCATAGAAATAGCTATGTTTAAGTCGAAGCCTACACATCCACAGAGGCACCTGGTACAAATCAAACAGGAGAATTTATCATTGAAATAGCTGAGTGATTAGCTTGTGACTGGTCACAGAAATGGCTATGTTAAAGTCATTTCTGTGACCAGTCACAAGCTAATCACTCAGCTATTTCAATGCTAAATTCTCCTTTGATTTGTACTAGGTGCCTCTGTGGATGTGTAGGCTTTGACTTTAACATAGCTATTTCTATGACCAGTCACAAAGCTAATCACTCAGTTATTTCAATGCTAAATTCTCCTGTTTGATTTGTACTAGGTGCCTCTCTGGATGTGTAGGCTTTTACTTTAACATAGCCATTTCTGTGACCAGTCACAAGCTAATCACGCAGCTATTTCAATGCTAAATTATCCGAACCAAACATTAAACTAATTTTCAATGGTACAGTATATTTTTTCAAGTAGTAGTATCCCAAACTTTCGCAGCAGCTTAAATTCCCTTTTCACACCATCAACATGTAAACTCCCCCTCCCCCCCCTCGCCGGTCTGCACATGTTCACCCCCTCTACACCGTTCATCATGCTAAGTCCGCCAATTAAATGCTATTTTTTATGCTAATTCCTTTGTCAAGGCGCTGTGTTTCTTCTCACACAGCTTAAAGGTCGCGGTCTGAGCTTGGCTGTGTTCGCTCCAGCGCTGTCCTCCTTGTGTTGTGGCCGAAACGTCGTGAGAATTTAATTGTGTTATTTTATTAATTTATTATTTCATTAATTTATTATTTTATTCTCATTCTACGTGACTTTACCGAAAGAACCAAAGAAGATGAATCCTTGCAGTCACGAAAGCTTTAAATCGAAATTTGATCATTTCTTTGTCAGTGGGCAAACGTACAAAATCAGCAGGGAATCAAATACTTTTATCCCTCACTGTATATAAAAGTTGTAACAGATACACGTTTACACATTTGTTGAACAGAGCAAGGTTATAAGAAATTGTTTCCAAGTTGGTACTTGTTTATCTTTACAGTGCACATGACAGAGTTTGTTTCGAGATCTTAATTTTTTTGTTTTCTGCCAGGACAAGTGGATGAAGGAGCTCAATGATCTGTTTGCGCAAGTGGATGAGAGACGGAAGGTATGCTGGTATTCTGGTATTTGCGAGGCCTGTCATCTGTATAAATAAAGACCTTCATCTGTATGTCTGAAAAACCTCCAGGGAACTTCCCGACAAGGTAGAACTCTGAAATTTGGTACATAGGTAGCTTTTAGGACACAAATAACAGGAAAAATTTGAAAATCAAATTTTTTTTCTTTTAAGACCCACAAAATGCCCCATAAGCATGTTTGTGCGTGTCATTCAGAAACCGTTCAAAATATAACATTGCGTTTTATTTTTAAATGGCAAATAAAATTAAAGCGAGAACCATTGATATAAATATTAATTCAATCTTTATTTATTAATTTTTTTAGATATTTCGGATTGAAGCAGTTTTAATGAATAAAATACGCATTTTCTGACTTTCAAACTCGAATAATTCGAAAACGGTAAAAGATAGGAGTTTCCCCTCAGTATTAGGTTAATTAAGTTTTGTTCTTTAAATTGAGTGGTTTCCGATGGGTACATCTTGAAATATAAGAAGTTGAATCAAGTTGTCAACTATTTATTTTTTGAGTAGTTGTTCGTTTCTGGTCGTAGATAAAATAAAAAAAAATCATACCAGGTTCATTATTATATTTGTTTCCTGGCGAAGACAGGTTTTATGAACTAGTATACATATTTTTGATTTAAAGCTTTCATGACTGCAGGGATTCATATTCTTGGTTCTTTCGGTAAAGTCACGTAGAAGGGAAACAATAAAATCATAAAAATATAAAACAATAAAATTCTCACGACGTTTCGACTGCAACACGAGCAATCATCAGGTGTGAAAACCACAGCAAGAAAATTAGAAAAAAGTGGCGGTTATTTTTAACGTTAGCACCACGGAGAGCGATTTGACAGTTTGTTCAGATGGACGAGTCCATCTATGTTCGGAAAAGAGGAGGGGGGAGACGAAAATAATGGATGCGGTCTGAAAGCCACCGTAAGCATGAACAATCAATTAAGACCCGAAATGGTTTAACAAATCCTTCCAACACCTTGGCCGTGACAGATCACTGTTATAATTCAGTAGGCTCACATGACATTGACTTCTCCAAGACAGAGGTTCTTTGCAAGCCATCTGGCTACCATGAGAGATTCGTTCATGAGGCTATCCACATATACAAACACAGAGACAATTTCAACCGAGAAGATGGATTCTGGCTTAGCAATCATTGGAAGGATTTGATAAACCATTTCTGGTCTTAATTGATTGTTCACGCTTACGGTGGCTTTCAGACCGCATCCATTATTTTCGTCTCCCCCCTCTTTTCCGAACATAGATGGACTCGTCCATCTAAACAAACTGTCAAATCGCTCTCCGTGGTGCTAACATTAAAAATGACTGCCATTTTTTTCAAATTTTCTTGCTGTGGTTTTCACACCTGATGATGATTGCTTGTGTTGCAGTCGAAACGTCGTGAGACTTTTATTTTTTTATTATTTTATTGTTTCCCTTCTACGTGACTTTACCGAAAGAACCAAGAATATAGTATACATATACAGTGAGGGAAAAAAGTATTTGATCCCCTGCTGATTTTGTACGTTTGCCCACTGACAAAGAAATGATCAGTCTATAATTTTAATGGTAGGTTTATTTGAACAGTGAGAGACAGAATAACAACAAAAAAATCCAGAAAAACGCATGTCAAAAATGTTATAAATTGATTTGCATTTTAATGAGGGAAATAAGTATTTGACCCCCTCTCAATCAGAAATATTTCTGGCTCCCAGGTGTCTTTTATACAGGTAACGAGCTGAGATTAGGAGCACACTCTTAGAGGGAGTGCTCCTAATCTCAGCTCGTTACCTGTATAAAAGACACCTGTCCACATAAGCAATCAATCAATCAGTTTCCAAACTCTCCACCATGGCCAAGACGAAAGAGCTCTCCAAGGATGTCAGGGACAAGATTGTCGACCCACACAAGGCTGGAATGGGCTACAAGACCATTGCCAAGCAGCTTGGTGAGAAGGTGACAACAGTTGGTGCGATTATCCGCAAATGGAAGAAACACAAAAAAACTGTCAATCTCCCTCGGTCTGGGGCTCCATGCAAGATCTCACCTCGTGGAGTTGCAATGATCATGAGAACGGTGAGGAATCAGCCCAGAACTACACGGGAGGATCTTGTCAATGATCTCAAGGCAGCTGGGACAATAGTCACCAAGAAAACAATTGGTAACACACTACGCCGTGAAGGACTGAAATCCTGCAGCGCCCGCAAGGTCCCCCTGCTCAAGAAAGCACATATACATGCCCGTCTAAAGTTTGCCAATGAACATCTGAATGATTCAGAGGACAATTGGGTGAAAGTGTTGTGGTCAGATGAGACCAAAATGGAGCTCTTTGGCATCAACTCAACTCGCCGTGTTTGGAGGAGGAGGAATGCTACCTATGACCCCAAGAACACCATCCCCACCGTCAAACATGGAGGTGGAAACATTATGCTTGGGGGTGTTTTTTCTGCTAAGGGGACAGGACAAATTCACCGCATCAAAGGGACGATGGACGGGGCCATGTACCGTCAAATCTTGGGTGAGAACCTCCTTCCCTCAGTCAGGGCATTGAAAATGGGTCGTGGATGGGTATTCCAGCATGACAATGACCCAAAACACACGGCCAAGGCAACAAAGGAGTGGCTCAAGAAGAAGCACATTAAGGTCCTGGAGTGGCCTAGCCAGTCTCCAGACCTTAATCCCATAGAAAATCTGTGGAGGGAGCTGAAGGTTCGAGTTGCCAAACGTCAGCCTCGAAACCTTAATGACTTGGAGAAGATCTGCAAAGAGGAGTGGGACAAAATCCCTCCTGAGATGTATGCAAACCTGGTGGCCAACTACAAGTAACGTCTGACCTCTGTGATTGCCAACAAGGGTTTTGCCACCAAGTATTAAGTCATGTTTTGCAGAGGGGTCAAATACTTATTTCCCTCATTAAAATGCATATCAATTTATAACATTTTTGACATGCGTTTTTCCGGATTTTTTTGTTTTTATTCTGTCCCTCACTGTTCAAATAAACATACCATTAAAATTATAGACTGATCATTTATTTGTCAGTGGGCAAACGTACAAAATCAGCAGGGGATCAAATACTTTTTTTTCCCTCATTGTATAACACAAAGCTAGTATTGTTGTGGAGAATATGAGTAACTAATAGAATGAGCAGAAAAATACGCCATAACTTATCTATCCCTCCGTTTACTTGCATTCTCCACAACGACGCAGATTATTTTGTCTTATGTGTTACATATATTTCTGTTGAACTAGGATCCATAACTAACATGGAGGCTCATTTCCAATAAACATTGGGCAATTTAGCAATGGTTTAAGCATGCCTGACTGTGGTGATGAGACACTATACGTTGAAACCCGTCTTACATTTTCTCGTGTTGAATCAATGCTGTTGCAATGCACTCCCAGAAGGGGATGTGTCCCTGATGGGATGTGTAAAAAATAATTTTATTTTTTACGTGGAGGGACAGAATGTGGAGGTGTATTGTCTGCTTATTTATTTTACCATTGTTTAGAGGCCAACATGGCAGTGGAGGAGCTTGGAGATCCACTCAGCTTGCTGTGTTAACTGTTTTTCTTAGCCAACAATAATTTTTAGAGCGCTTGGAACATAGCAACTGCCAAAAACAATCTGGGTATGCATTCCATGATAGCAGCAAACATGAGTCGGGGATGCATACGCAGTTGTTGAACACGTGACCTTAGCATTTGATGTACAGTGTATAGTGTCAGTCATTGTTTTCTTTACATTTGCTTGATCACAACCATATCTGAGAGATTTTTGAGAAGCTCGGTGAATACTTGAGGTATATTCTGATTGCAGACAGCAGAGACATCCTGATCAAACCTGTAATGTGATTCATCAAGTCACCGGTGCATCCTTGCGTGCACGTGCCTGCCCATGGTACACGATTGTCTGCCGGAGCAAATGTTTGATGCAGTTGGGTGCAACAAAATCGAATGCAGATAAGTCAGAGCCTGCTCAGCCTCCAATTACAGTAATAAGCTGCTGTGTGTATTTCGGAAGTGTGACCTGAGGGTGGCAGGGTGGTGCAGTGGTAACACTTATGCATCACAGCCAGTAGGACCAAGGCGTGATTCCCTAACTTGTGTGGAGTTTGTATGATGTATGAATATATGTTGAACTTCTTTGGCACCGTACATAGCCAACTGTGCTAATCGGAAATGGCATTGAGGTGATGCTCATCTCACGTTTGCAGCTCTCAGCCTGTAGCAGAACCTCCACATTTATATGGTGGGGCTGAGTATATCCATAGGACAACCACTTTTGAATTTCCCACCATGGTATTCATTTAATGACCCCATAGGGCTGATAAGCTAGCTGAATCAAACCCCAACCAGGATTTGAATTTGCAAACTGACTGCGAGCCGCTCGCTTGAGCTCTCATATACCTGGTTGGTTTTTCAAGGATTTTTTTTTATGATGGAATATCTATTTAGGTCAATATTTAGCTGTCTTTCTGTCTTACATCTCTCGATAAGTGTTTTAAAATTAATGCTTATTTTTGCTGATGTGCACCTAATTCTAGATTTAAAGCTTTCGTGACTGCAAGGATCCATACTCTTTGGTTCTATTCGGTAAAGTCACGTAGGTAAAAAAATAAAACTACAAAAATCACGACGTTTTGGCCACAACACAAGCGGCCTTCATCAGGTGAAGGGACCAGCCTGTCTCGAAGACTGCGCTGGAGTGAAACAGCCAAGCTCAGACTGCGACCTTTAAGCTGTGTGAATTGAAACATGTACACCTGGCCCTCAAAAGGAATGGATACTCTGACCGTACCATCCGCCAAGCTGTTTCTCCCTCCATACAGAAACAACCACTTGATACTCCGGTCAAAACCATCACACTACCATATATAGCAGGCGTTACTAAATATATTTCCAAAATTCTAAACAAACGCAACATCCAGGTCCGATTCAATACGGTACATAAAATTCGTGATCTGATCCCATCCGTGAAGGATGTCATTCCTGACTTACAGTACCCCGGGGTTTCCAAGTTGAGTTGTACCTGCGGTGACTGCTATATCGGGGAGACCGAATTCGCGAGCACGAATCAGATTTGAAACACGGCAGAACGAATTCTTCTGCCGTGGCTGATCACTGTTACAACGCTGTGGGTGATCACGATATAATTTTCTCCGATACCAAGGTTCTTTGCAAACCCACAGGTTTTTATCAGAGATTTGTTCACGAGGCAATTCAGATCTACAAACACAGACACAATTTCCACCGAGAAGATGGTTTCAAATTAAGCAACCATTGGAAAGATGTTCTAAATCAAACTAAACATTAAACTAATTTTCATTGGTACAGTATATTTTTTCAAGTAGTGGTACCCCAAACTTTCGCAGCACAGGCTGGTGCTCTGCCGGTGCCGATCACTGTGCTACACCTTTCATCATGATAAGTCCGCCAATCAAATGCTAATTTTTACGCTAATTCCTTTGTCAAGGCACCTTAATCCCTCTCACACAGCTTAAAGGTCGCAGTCTGAGCTTGGCTCTGTTTCACTCCAGCACAGTCTTCGAGACAGGCTGGTCCCTTCACCTGATGAAGGCCGCTTGTGTTGTGGCCGAAACGTCGTGATTTTTGTTGTTTTATTTTTTTACCTACGTGACTTTACCGAATAGAACCAAAGAGTATGGAAATTAATCTCTTTACCAAAGTTTGGCTCGCGCAAAGTTATCTTGTAACCATTCGATCGTTATGACATGAGCTGAAAACTCACTGAATATTTGTGCAATGTGCACAATGCAAGCAATTATGGTCCCTTGCAAGGTCTAAGATTTATTTAAAAGTCGCTCAGCTCTGGTGTTGTGTTTAGTAATTTTAAAGCGTGTCCATCATTCTTTTGAGAGGACATTAAGACATTTTTCTCGCTGTGCAAAACTTTCACACATTATAAACCAAACCTGTTAGAGCACCAACGGAGATATGGATGTTTACCCATACTCGAGTTTAGGTACATATTTTCTTTTTTTATCAAACCAATTGAAAATAACTTTAAATATTTTTCCAGACTTTGACCATTTACTACTGTTAGGAGACAGTGCTGGCATAGTTTCCAGTAAGGTGTCTTACAATAAATGTTCCAATGTTCCAGATCAGGACCATACACAAGTGTGTCACAAGAAGCAGGCCCACATGAGAGCCAGGCCACTGACGGTGTGTGTGTGTTTCAGAAGCGCGATGTGCCGGACTATCTGTGTGGAAAGATAAGCTTTGAGCTGATGAGGGAGCCTTGCATCACGCCCAGCGGCATCACATACGACCGCAGTAACATCGAAGAGCACCTACAGGTACTGCTGTTGTCCTTGCTTATAAAGGATACCATTTAAAAAATACTTTGTATGTGTTTTGTACACCTGCATCTTTCTGCTTAGATCGAGGTATTTTGAGTGAGAGCTGCTTCTTTCGTTGTCAAAAATGTATTTCACCAGGTAAAAACTTCAGTCCACATGGACTCTTTTACAAGGTTGAACTGGTCTGGGTGGTGAGTTAACGAGTTATTTGTTGCTGTGTCGTAAAGAGGTGGACAAGAAATAAGAGGCAGATGGGATCAAATTGGAGTGATTTTGAAAAGGTGAACATGATGAAAAGTGTGCCAAAATAAGAAAGTTTTCAATCGGTGCATACTACCTGTTGTGACGCATGGTTCAGAAGCAAGGTCATTCATGGAAAATATAAAACAAACATTTTAAAGTGCAAAAGAAGCATGGAGAGATGCATACCTGGAATTACATTGAGAGACGAAAAGAGAAACCACGTGCATTAGAGCATACGCATGTTAATGACATTATGCACACTGTTAAGAAAGGTAATTGGGTTGTTTTGTATTCAAGTAAAACATCTATATAGAATACAAAAATAAATAATGGATTATGTTACACTAACATTTTGACATTATTCAGACCTTTGAAACGTGTTAAGCAAAGAAAAGGTACTTGCAAATATTGAATATATTATGCCATTCATACCTTGTGTAAATCAATACCCACTTCTAAAAATAAATTCACAAGAAAATACCTTTATAACTCTTACATTGAATGTGTAAAATAAAATGTTCTACTTTACTTTTATAGCATCACATGGACTTGATTATTTGCTTGAATCTTTTCATGGGAAATACATATTCATAAATTGCATGTAGTGAGACTATTAAAATGTTCATATTTCCATTTCATATAAATATTGTGGATACATATTTAGGAGTTTAAACAATACACAAACACTCTTGTTTACGATTCTTTCCCTTTTGAAAATTGCTTGTCTTAAGAAAATACGTAAACAAGTTCAGTGTCCAATGTATGAACTCGAATGTAGAGGGCTGGACCGGGTACTATTTTGCTCCTTTGTTGCCTAGCTTGCACAAACACACTAGGGTATGATAGTAACCTACAATAAGATCACAGATAACATTTTGGTCATAAGAATTTACCACCACAATGCACATAACTTTGGTAATGTATGCAGTACTGAAGATCACGTTGCCTAAAATGTTCCGTGCACCCCTCCCCCCCCCCATGTCTTGCGTGCAGCGGGTTGGCCACTTTGACCCCATCACACGGAGTCCCTTGACTCAGGACCAGCTCATCCCGAATTTGGCTATGAAGGAGGTGATCGACGCGTTCATCACTGAGAACGGCTGGGTGGAGGATTACTGAGAATAATAACTGGAACACGCGCCACTGTGGGCGCACGGAGCACTCGCACCCCCTACGGATCGTAGATTCCGTCACTCGGCTGCTTCAGCACGGATGTTTGGCCCTAGCGTGTGCTGAGCTTCTTTGGCGGGGTGGGGGATGGGTGCCTACTTGCTGAGGTTGAAGACAAGGTTCGCGTTCACGTTGCGTGTTACAATGGGTTTGATTTTTGTTGTTTTCATGTAAGTGCGATTAATCCAGTATGGGTGGTTATACTCCTTTCCACCGATAACGTGTAATATTCAGAACGCGTATAGATATAAATAAAATTGCCATTGTATACAATGTGAGCTTGAGAAAGCTACGTAACCATCCACGTACCTTTCTGAGTTGGAGAGTTGGGCAGGAAAGTCGATATGTTGGCTGTAAAAAAAAAAATACTTTACATATACAAAAACATTATTGGACATGCATATATGTTGTAAATACAAGCAAGACAACCAAATCTGGGATTTGGTAAACTTTTCTTTAAAAATTTACATCGTTTATGTTGTTTAAGTGTAACGTATGAAATATCTCCGGCTTGAGTCAGCTTCCAGTTAGAATTACAAACGAGGTTACATCTCGGCAGGTAGCAGTGCTGTTGTAACGTTCTCTAAAGGCCACTTGGCTTTCTGGTATGTATTATTAAAGACCGCTCAACAGCATGACATCAAGCAAGTGCACCTTTATTTTTCAAAGCAGTTGATAGCACTAGAATAGTATGTTGTGGTGCAGTGTAGGAAACTTTGGCACAACTCAGACCAAACCAATTTGAAACTGCCTAAAGCACGCGCGTTTAGCCATTCATTGAGTTTCATTAAAAAGACGTCCATATACGCCAAACACTGCTGAATATATATCACTTTTCAGTGTATTGGAGTAATTCCTACTTGATCACAAACACTGCAATGTGATTAGCCGTTCACTTCCTGCTCAGAGACCAGTTTACGATTGATACCTGGCACGAATTACAGAGCAACAACTTCCCTTGCAAAAAAATAGAATTTGCCAAACTTTAAGGGCTGCCAGTACAGTAGCATGGTGTGAGCATAAGTTTAGAAATAAGGACCGTTTAACATCCTACTTGCAGGGGTGTGTATAATGCAGCCGCGTGCACTTGTTGTTACATGTACTTTCACGATGTTCATGTAATGTTCTCAGTACTTGTCAGAATGTTGCACAGAGTCCAGTCCTGTCATCTTGAGATATGAAAGGTGAGCTCTGCCGTTGTCTCGCTCATTGCAGCTGGAACTTTGTTTAGCGCTGTTTCAACGCTCGCTTCGTTGTGCGACGTTTCTTTTTTTTATCGTTCCCTGTCAGAATATGTACAGAGACTGCATCCTTGGACTTAAGTGAACATATCACACTGTCTGTAGTGGTGAGAATATATTGTATACTTTCTTTTGACAAATAAAGATTTATGAAAAACAAGTGTACTTAGATGTTTTGTCCATGTAAAATGTGTCGAGATATACTTGTGTTTTTTATGCTAAGCCTCAAAGATAGTATTAGGTGTGCTATTAAAAAAAACCGCAAAATATGAACTGCAAAAACTTTATAATGTCGCGTGGTAAAGCGCTTACGTTTAAATCCCAATCAGGAGTTAATCCAACACAATTCCTCTCGGGTCAATACATCGAGCACTATGTGGTAAGCCAACAGTGGTCATGGAAGTAGTGGCCGTGGTCATTTGAATATGGAATTTCCACAACTGGATTGGGGGCAAAAAGGGGCACTCAATCGAAAATATGTACAGGAGTGAAAAAAACTGTATTCCTCCACCCATGACCTATCCACTGCTAGATGAAGGCCTCCCCAAGCCATTGCCATCTCAAGTCCTGCGATGACCTCGGGCACAAGATGAGATCCCATCGCAGTGCATGGCCCTCTCATTTAGCTGCCAGTTACATATCACTTTTTTTTCTTCTTCCAAAAACACTCTCGTGATACGGTACTCATTCTTTCGGAACCTTTCCCTGAGAAAATGCTACGAATGACCTCGCTTTCGCACGTTTCTGATTTAGAAATGCACCACGGCTAGAGTGGGATCACCGTTCCCTGCTGCTGCTGCTGTTGCCACCTTGGTTGGTACCCATCGATGTCTCAAGGCCGATTTTTCTTCTTGGTTCTTTCGGTAAAGTCACGTAGAAGGGAAATAAAAATAAGCAATAAAATAAAATTATCACGACGTTTACTTTGTTTCATTTTCATTATTTTATTATTTCCCTTCTACGTGACTTTACCGAAAGAACCAAGAAGATGAATCCCTGCAGTCACGAAAGCTTTAAATCGAAATTTAAGGCCGATTTTTATACAGAATCGGAATAATTTATACGGGAGGAATCCGATGAGCTCCTGTTGGCTTTTTTTTTTAAATAAATTGGCCCCTCATAAGACGTTTACGATGACGACTGTTCTTGTTTGTTCATCGTATATTTATTCTCGTTCGTGGAATAGATTTGCCTTCACAACGCAACCACTGTATCGTGAACGCATTGCCGCGGAAACCTAAGAAGCGTAAGGCGCGCAGGGCATTGTGGGTGGAGACGGAGTGTGTCTCTGTTGCTCTCGTGTCGTGCGAGCGCGGGAAATGGCCAAACATCATCCCGATCTGATCTTTTGCCGCAAACAAGCCGGCGTGGGTAAGAGAAGAGCGACCCACCTCTCTCTCGTCAGCGTTGTTGTCGAGATTTCTCCCGAAGGTTCCCCTCGCGAGGCGTCACCGCACGCGGGTCGGCACTAGGCGAGACGCAGGCTCCCAATGCGAGGGCAGGCCTCTTCTCGGAGTCTTAATGCGCCTAATGTTACTCTTGCTGCTGTTCTTGCTTATTATTGTGTAGTTTTTGTCTTCGATTGTTTAACCGCAAGAGGTAAATAAGCATGTGTCATCGGACTCGCGTGTTTGCGGGTGTAAGAGCAGCACTTGTATCTCCGGTGCAGATCCGAAGCGAGTGGTCTAAGGTGAATTCACACTACTTCAGATGTAATTACATGAACGTCACTAATAACTCGATTTCCAAAGTAAAGTTGATTTATACGTGTTTTGACCTAATTAATGATGCCAATGCAATGTGGCAGGCAAGGTAAAGTTGAAATGGGATGCTTTAAAAATGCCTAGGAACAAACTTCGTAGACTAAAGTTAATCTAGAAAGTTAACCTTTATATAAAACGGCATGTTGAGTACCACTGGGATTTCAACACATCCTATGGATGGACTCGTCAGAGGAATGAGGATTTTTTTCTCACTGGCTTAGGGCGCTAAACAGAAGATGCCACAGCCTCATTGCTCATTTATCAATACTTCACTTTGACTTAATCTTTATTGTAAACCCTAATTGTAGGGTTAGACCTAATTGTAGGGGCAGAGCTGAACGGATTCTACAACCCGTTCTGGACATCTGCGAAAAATGGCTTTATAGATCATCGGATTCCTCCAGTCTAAATAAAGATTCTGATTTTGTTTTTCATTGCTCAGCACCCGGACACTATTGCAGTTCCATTGCGAAGTTTTGTGCCCATGCGTGTTAGTGGAATGGTTGCTTATCTCACGATTAAATAATAAACGAGGGATAGCTCACTGAGTCTTAGGTTTCTTTCACGTGGGTCTATCATTGGGAGGTTTGGCAATTCACTTGTGGGGAATGTACAGGAGGGACCTTGAGAGAAAGCACAGGCTGATGGGGTGGAAAAACTATTCTCTGCAGTCAGAATTGCAAATCCCATTTGGGACCCTCTATTTAGTACGTACGCAAAAATCTGTACGTACTTTTTACCCCCCAACTGCGTACGTACGCTTGACGCACCCCTCCTAATCCTATAGAACGGCCGATATTTAATCCACGCAGAAACGATCAACGATTAATAATAACGTGTTTGAGCAAATCTGTCCACGGCCCGACTAACTAATTTGAAGGCCAATGTAGACAAATTATTAGCGAAGCTTCACCCCCCCCCCCTTCGCGTTTCCTATGCGTACGTACATAGTCAGTAGACCTCCATACGCAAGCGTACGCATTTGGGTTAACCTCTCCCCTCCATGCGTACGTACTAAATGGATGGACCCCTTTCCTGTATTCTGCCGTCTCCTGAAAACCTCGGCCCAGTTTGCGATTTGAGACTAGAATTGTGTTCTGCAGTAGCATATCAAATTTAGTTTTGCTGTTTGGTTAATTATGTTAATGGCCTGGATCAGTAGATTCTATTATCTTTCGGAGAATTGCTAACATACCGCTCCTTACCCTTCTTGTTTTGCAGCCATTGGCAGACTCTGTGAGAAATGTAAGTTACAATTTAAATTTTACTCCATATTCATATCAGTGGTGTATTTGTCATCAATGCAATTTGCCTGCATAAACAAATGTCCTTCGTATTCTTTGTCCGTAACGCAGCCATAATAAATAATTTTGTTGGTGTGCTAATTTTATAGCTGTTAAATGGTTATATACTGTGTTTGTATTATAGGCAGTGTATACCACGTCCATATTCATCAGGATTCCAGCCTGCTCCGGAATCTTAACCATTCATCACCTCACTTCTTCCAATGTGACTGTCCTGTCTTCTTTGACTTCTCCTAACCATGTGAGTTAACTCTGTTAGTTTGTATGAGATGGACATCATTAACTCTGAACCCTAACATGCCATAGCCATTTTAGTCAACTTTCTTTCATCTTGACTGAGATGGATATTGCCGTTCATACGTTCTTTCTTGTTCCTTAATTTCTGATTTGATGCGAACCAGTCTTAACTCCTGAGATTCGTCTCGCCGTCCTCATCCTCTCACTGTGCATTGTGCTGATGCCCCCTTGTGCGCAGGCGATGGAAAGTGTGTGATCTGCGACTCCTACGTGCGGCCCTGCACGCTCGTGCGCATCTGTGACGAGTGCAATTATGGCTCGTACCAAGGCCGCTGTGTGATCTGCGGGGGCCCTGGAGTCTCGGACGCGTACTACTGCAAGGAGTGCACCATCCAGGAGAAGGATGTGAGTGTGACCCTACTGCACCTCGGGTTGGGTTATCGCTCATAGAATTGGCTGTAAAGCAATCGTTTAATGCACTTACTGATTCTCTCGTACTTCATCACTGGGGGTCAGTCATCTTGTCACTCTTCTATCGCTGCTACCGCAGTGTCGTCAATTTGACTCATTGATTCCTTCAGCCATATTGAGGACTTCGTCTACCAGACTGACTCTTTTCCCTCATCTAAATTGTGTTGAACCATCACGCTGAAATCCAAAGCACTATCCATTCTGCTTCTCCCCTCGCACTGCCAGACTGACTATTTTCTCTCATCTAAATTGTGTTGAACCATCACGCTGAAATCCAAAGCACTATCCATTCTGCTTCTCCCCTCGCACTGCTTAACTTTGGAATTCCCTGACATAGTTTATTTTCCCAAGCTCCTTATAACCTTGCTGTAATCAACGTGTGAACTCTTAACTTTTACACACATTGGACTGTTGGTTGCTGGCTGCTTAACGTTCTGGGCCTTTGAGCCTATCCTCTAGCAACTGATTTTAGAATGTTATATCACCCGGAATGTGCCTGATCTCATAATCTCCAAAGCTACGCAGTGTTGAGCTTGGATAGTGCTTGGATGGGCGACCACCATGCATACATTTACAGGTGTTATTGGCTGCTTCATATGTTGGCAGCGGAAAGCAATGCAGAAAAATCCATTGTTGACATGTACCATGTACCCATTTCTATGCTCTCTGCCTTCAGTCTACACTGAACAGCATAGTGAAGTATGGTCAAATAACCCCTACAACTGGTACGTCATAGGGAGACTCATCCTTATGATGTGGTGTTGATAGCTGTGATATGATTATTAGTGTAATGTTGAGTTTAATGTTACATGTTAATCATAACTTATTTTGTGACCTGTGTATTTCTTTACTTTTTTTCTGCTTTATTTATGTCGATATTGTAAAGTTCATTGTAAATTTTATTGTTTATGTATTATATGAAGAGTTACATTTTTTCCTTCCATTTTCAGAGAGATGGTTGTCCCAAGATTGTGAACCTTGGAAGCTCTAAAACAGATTTGTTTTATGAACGCAAAAAATATGGATTCAAGAAGCGATAACCTTTCCCAGCATCATGACACACCACTCACATTTAATATTTTTTCTGATGTTTTTTTAATATGATGGAATGCCTATTTTCTGCGATTGTCTGACGAGAATGTTGTGGATAATTTCTTTAAAAATAAGAACATTATTACCATTGGCTTGCACTGTGTGATATGATGGTCACATTGTATATTCGTGTGGAATCCTGTTTGCAGCCATGATTATCTTAGCACACCATGTGATAAAATGTGACACATTGTGCCCTGTGTGGACCAGGACTTTACGGCGCTTGGAAGTTGTTTTTATTAACTTTGTCCCAGAAGATGCGAAGGGCAGAGAAGCCATACCATCAAGTCATACCTGTATGTTCTCGGATGTCATCAGTTAATTCCTGGCCTCTCTGTGGGTTAAAAGAAATACGCAGGAATTGTACTTTAATGTTTAACTCGTAAATAAAGTTGATGACCTCACGCTCAAGATTCTGAACTATGGATATATTAAAAATCTCTTAAACATTGTTTTATTCTTACAGAAATTGAAATTAAACTTTAAACTTCATAAAATAAACTCCAGATTTTGGTGAATGGATTGTGTTATTTGATTAATCTTATTTCATGTGTTCATTCTGTGTTGTTGAGTACCAGCAAAATTCAAGGGATATTTTCACCTGGAAGTTGATTTGTGTGTTGAGCTTGGCAGCTGTACAAAGCAAGGTAATTTTTTTGTGAGATGTCAATTGAGCAGCCCATTATAAATTTCTACAAATGTAGATGCATTTTAAAGTCATGAAGTGGAGATTACAGTTGTATCATCCAAGGTTGCCTATGGAAGTTGTGCTAAAGAGATATACTGCTCATCAGTCTCCACTTTAATTAAATCTCACTTTCCCCACTCGTAATGAGAGATCACGGAAAGGAGAACAAACGATAGATGGGGTGTAATTGTGCATTGGCGAGCTGTTGTGTAATGATTAGCGTGCTGAACTTTCAATCCGGAGGTCGCTAGTTCCATTCCATCACCCAACTCAGCAATGGAAGCAACAGGGCAAGTTTCTCATCCTCCACCCTCTCCACCCAGAAGTATAGATTGATATCCCACATTGTTTTAATCGGATAGTCGCATGCGGTGGGGTAAAATGTGCACGACCAACTCTTCCAACACGTGTGGTCAACGTGAAAAGGTCGACCAGATACCCGTTTAGAGTTCACTCGAGTAAAGGGCATTCTAGCAGTCGTGGTGAGCGACCAGTCAGTGCTGCACCAGTTGCTGAGCGGCTGTTGCAGCAATTAATGTGATAAAGCTTGTGAGAGTCGATATTTTTCACCGTTTATGTTGTGTAGGTGGTTCATGTTACCCTTTTCACGCACTAGAGGCCAACACATTCACAGTACTCTACAAAATATGGGTCATCGCTTATTTAATTGTGATCCTGAATTACACCCTTGATTTCCAGTACAGCACAAGCTGTTCTTGGTTTGTCCAGTAGATGTCCTAGGATAGCCTTGACTTGGATATATTTGGAGCATTTCTTCCCTATTGCATGTGCAACAGAATAGAGATCTAACTGCACGTGAATGCTTCGTTTCAAAGAAGTGCAGCTTTGGAAATCAGTTGGTAACCAAATCTTTAAAATCCATTTTGTGTACAGTTTAGTGTGTAATGTTTTAACTGGTAATTAAAGCATCATTAGACAAACTCATCCTGCGAGGTTTGACACCTTTTTCACTGTAGACCAAACCCAGACATAGAGAATTTCTCGTTCAGTTTTTTCAAAATGCATTTTATTGTAATAAAGTTCATCGCAATACTGGACCAGCAGATATTGTTACAAATTACTGCCTGTTCCCCAAATACAGATGCCAACCATTGGACTCGTTAACCTCAGCCTTATGTCACGGGCCCTCTTTTCACCAACCCACATTGACCAGCGTGGTCAGCTATGGTCAAACCTACACGTTTTGGGGAGGCCTTTATCCAAAGTTTAAAAAAGGCTGTGAAATTGTAATTTAATGAAGAATTTGTGAATGAGTACGACTGCCGATATTAGTACAGTATAGGAATTAAACTTTACTAGATGGCAGTGTTCTCACTTTTTGACTTGTCAAGCAGATTTAGTGCAAGTGAGCCCAATTGTTAGCTTGTAAACGTGTATAATTGTGAGTTTGGTACGGTGCTGTTGGTGCTCTTAACTCAATTAGCATTGGCATTGAGCAGGTAAATAATACAACCGTGTAATGTAGTGCAGTAAGCATGGGATTTGATTGTGAATTATTAAAACAATGTTATTCCTGTATTTTTCAGAGATCATAAAATCTGCACCTGTGCTTAATTTGTGATGCCAAGCTGCATGCAACCGGAGTGAATTAACATTGTTGGCCGATGATAACAGAAGCAGCAGCAGCAGCACTGATGTCTGCAACAAGAACCACTCTCGCCGCAGTGTTTAGATTCTAATGGTGCCCTTATCTAGACAAGTCACGAATACTGTGATTACTTTTCAAGAGGATGTTGCTTTGATTTCAGTTTTTTTTATTTAAACATTCAACACTTATATCCACAGAACAACTTTTGGCTTCCCGATAAAGTGGTACCCATCGACTCTGGAGGGATGATGGGCCGGTTATAATTGTAAGCATTGTTTTACGTGTGGGAGGAAACCGGAGTACTCGGAGAAAACCCCACTCTTAAGCTCCACGTAGACGGGTGCATGAGCCCACTTGCTCTACTCCCGTTTGGCCACGAAGCAGCCCAACGGAGTTGAGAATTCACAAATCGATGTGATTCACTACTGACCCTTGCTACCAAAGCGCTGGGTGAGAGGCATGAGCCACCAATCCTGGCTCTGAATGTGCAGACTCCTTTTTTTTTCCTTCAACGCAAAGGTAGTGGCTAGGGAATATGATGGTATAATTTACACTGAGTTCAGAATAATTAAGCATTGAGCGATGAAGCATGTGGAAATGTGACGATTGAGTTTCGGGAAAGTGCTAAATTAAGCGGTGCATAATTACGTTGCGTGCATTAACAAGCGCGTTTATGCACATGCATTGGTATTAAAATGTGTTAATAAAAACTGCAACATGTTTCCTTTTATTCATCCGTCTCAGTAAAGTTCAAACATAAGTAAGAAAACTATGCCTCCACCCCATATTTGTCCCTCCACGTTATTTTGTTTTACACATACGTTCAACACAAGTAAACTGAGCAGCAATTAGGTTCGCTTTTAACCAATGCTGGTGAACTGCCAGATGCTCACAGGCATGGGCCCTCTGTTAGATATGGGTCCCAGTTAATTTCAGTCATTCTCAGGATCGCACCACTTGAACAGTAACAAGCCACGGGCAGTGCCAGGTTACGCTAGTGCGGGGCCTGTATCATATTATAAATGGGTCTTAAATATAAAAAAAAACACTTTAAACAAATTTTTGACTTGCATATTAAATTTAAAATTTTAATTTGCTATACAGCCAGATAATACGACAAATCGCTAGCCTTAAACACCCAGTCGTTCGTAAAAGTTGAAGGCAGTATAGTACAATAGTAATAGAGCAAGTGCAGAATCACTGACCGGAATTGATATCTTTAAAGCATTTAGCGCGGGGCCCTTGAAAGTGCGGGGCCCGTAGCTACTACATATGTAGCTAGGTTTGCTACTGGGATCATCCGGGACTGGCCACGGGCACGCACGGGTCCGCTGTGTATGTACAGGGTTTTGCAGCGTGACTGCATGTTTTGGCTCCAATGTGAATTTCTCTCTGGCGGAATGCTCCACGACTGATGTAAGTCGTCGTGACTTCACTGCGTTAGCGGCGATGGTCAACGCGGCCCAAGCGTAGCGCCCACTGCCAAGCTTCCACGGGCCACGCAGCCTGCGAACCATCAGGGCTGTGCCAAGCCCCCCCCCAACTGTTTTTTACAGCAGTGCAGCGTGCTGCCGACTACTCGGCATTTGACATTTATGTTTGCTTAAAGGAAGACGACGTACATTTACAGCCTCAAAAGAGTGAGCTTACGGTCAAGGACGTCATCGTAGCAAGGTGGTGATGTGACGCACCTGCATGTAACGTCTGCAACGGTGGCGCTAGACCACGCTGATAACTGCACGCCTGAGCGTGACTCAAAATCACTTGCCGTATTATTTGGTCTTAAACGCATTAAAAAAAATGCCAGCTCGGAGAATGATAACGTTTATTTTGAGTGCATTGTCCCAAGTGGATGAAGAGGTCTCTTAAAGGGACCTCAAGAAGTATCACTGTGACATCACCTTCCACGGCGTGATTTCTGATTGGACGCTTTGTCTCGTGACAATGGGTTGATTTGAAATGTTGTAATTTAATTAGGAGCTTAAGATGAAAATACCGTTAAAGACCGCCTGGCTAAGACACTTCATAATATCGTATCTACCTGCGTCGCAATCTTGGACTAACTTATGAATAATATCAACGTATGAACAATGTCATCACTTATTGCAGCAGTTGTCAATATCTGTAGGGGGGCGATAAAACCTGTAAAGGGGGGTGGGGGGTAGGTTGCAGCGTGGATAGCGTGCAGGAAATTTCGAATTTCCGCGGGGAGCGTTGGCGCCACGTTACGGCGACAAAATACACGAATACACAACATGACACAACTGCTATCACGACTAATATACGACGGTACACAAATGCCTTAGGAATAAACAGCATGAAACAAACGCCTTGCACCAGTGGGTCGAGGCGAGGACAAGTGATCTCTATTTAGAGGGGCCTTCGTAGCCTGGGGGGCAGGGCGCGGGGTGCGGTGGATCTCGATTTGAGGGGGGCACCCACTTGTTGAATTAATTGCTGTTTTGCGTGCTTATCTGCAGTGTGTTAAGGATTCATGCATGCGTAAAACACTCGCAATTTGTATGTTTCGGTTTCCACTTTGTGTTTTCTTTTGGATGCAAAAAAAATCTAACTTTTCAGCAAAAAAAAAATCCTAAACAAACGGAGTCTTGAATGAGTACCGCGACTGTTTAAAATAAACTACAAACGACTGTGTAAACAAACAATATTGAAGGAAGTACTGTATACAATTATCCCTTTTTAACTAACTCTATGTAAATGCTGGCCTGGAACATCTGAGCAAGCAGTGGACTTGAAACGCATTGCATTTTCAAGTGGGTGAAGAGCTGTGGTGCCCCTCCCTGGTACAGCGATTCTAAAGCAAATCGTTACCCAAGAGTTATCTTCAGAACCTTGGCGGTCGCAGATTACTCACGATGATGTCTTTCTATGCACATTCCCTATGCATATCTGAGCAGAATGGTTTCCTCCCACAGGCCAAACATTATCATGCAGGATCCTCCTGAAGGAGATGAAAGGCATTGTTTTTCTTGTCACTAGTTTCACGCGAACTTCAGAGGGATTCTGCCGGCAATCTGTCACGTGTTTTTGAAAAAAAAACATGTTCTTTAGTAGCATGGAATTTACCAGCCCAAGTGTAATTATTCACACGTGGGATTTATTGTTGTTGTGAATTTTTGAATATACATGTGTATATCATCAGGTCGGATTGTATCTTTTTCTGTTTATAAACCACGTGGATTCCTTAGTCCTGCAAATATTTAACCCACACTCAGGGTTTTTGCCCATAACATCTGGCAGGTCACCAGCATTGGCTCCAGCAAGCCTGAATCTGCTGATGAAACAATGAAAGTCGAAACTGATCCAGAGTTTGTTTCCATTGAAACATTGCTGATAAATGTATTCACTGTCAGAAGGCGGTGTGCTGATGGGATGTGTATAAATTTTTTTATTTATTTTGTGCGTAGAGGGACAGATATGGAAAGGAGGAATATTGTCTTTCTATGTGTCTGATTACGTATATCATCCACAACAACCCTAATGATTATGTCAGGTCATTTCTGTGGCCGGGTTGACCTCGCCTTCCCATCCCTCACCGTCTTTCCTGACCAAAACGCGTGAAGCGCCCCTTGAGACGCCTCTCAATGGCTGCAATAACAAGGAGGACTGTCACCTGGGACCCGGGTGGGAATTCATGGGTATAACACGTGGTGGTTGCTCCTTTGATCAGAAGCTATGGGACTGTCAGCGCAGGGAAACCAACCTGTGAACATGTTTCTGCATAAAGGCAACCAGCTATCAAAATAAGGCCCTCTTCTATAAATAGTGACTTCTAATGTTTTGCCCCAGAGACGTACGAAGTGAGTCGTTTTAAAAGGCAAAAAAAACACTCACACACGCTTCGTTAAGGGTGATTTAGAGACACGATTGCGATGCGTTCGTTTATGGGGGGGGGGGAGTGGTGGCATAGTGGTTTGCGCACAGTGTGCTGTGAACCCGGTGACCTGAGTTTGATTCCCAACCATGGCTAACATCAGGGGCGAGTAATATCTGAACCTGTCTTGCCCCTCATCCCTTTCATCAACCCGCACTCAGCAGCGTGGTAAAGATTTGCTCAAATAACCCCTAACATCGACGTAGCAATGGGGAAGCCTTCGTCCCGCAGTGGATTGGCAAATGGCTGTAAAAGTATTTTATTTTGCCCCGTTTATAAATACACGTAGAGTATGATGTCTGATGCTGATATACATTATATTGCAGGTTAAGTAATCTGATGGCTCAGTGTGCAAAAGAGAAACAGTGCAGCCTTAATGCCATTCGAGTGTTCCGTGTTTGTTTTAAGAAGAAACTCTTGCGGACAGTAATGTACGGCGACACTTGGACGCCTGCACTAAAATGTAATAACCCATTATTAACTCTAATTTGTGTAAAGGGGCTTTTTAAAAAAAAACTGTTCACGTTTCAGATGTCATCGCGTGCGTGAAATTGAACACGGATTCACGTTTGCCCGCGAGAGGCGTTCACGAAATATGAGAGTGGGACATTAATCGTGCCAATTACAGCGAGTTCGTTTTTAAAATCACCCCGCAATATCAAAAGACTCGTATTAGCACTTGTTTAGTTTATCTTATATTACAACCAAATCACCCTAATGTGTCCGATATAAAAAGCTAAGCAGGTTTGAATTTGGGTGAGTACTTGGGTGGGTGACCACCAGGGCTTGCCAGATATTCTCAGTGTGGGGGCCTGCGGACTGGTCAGGAGATGTATGTTGAATGTTGCATGCTGAATTTTGTATGTTGAACTTGTTTTTGCATCTTACGTAGCCAACCGTGCTAATCGGAGGTGCGGAGATGGCAGTGTTGAGATACTTTCAAGTTTTCTCGTTTTCTGCAACACGAAAACCAAACCGTCATTAATAATGGATTGGGCCAAACAACCCAATGTGGCAGGACCCTCTTTAAAAAAAAAATCTATCCATCTAGCAACTGTACACGAACTGACTTCATCCCTCCATCTCCTCGATGCCCACAATCTCGCGAATGTTCCGTTCCTTTGGCTGCTGCTCCGCTATTACTCTCAACAAGCGGCCATCGTCCCTTCAAGCCGTGCCCTGCCCAAACCCCCACTCACTTTTCTTGACAGTTTGGATGATGTCATTAATCTGGGCGTGTTTTTTTAAAAAAAAATCCATGCGTTCATCTTTCTGTATCTAAATATAATTCCAAGCTTGCATCTCTCCACGCTTATTTGCGCACTTTTCAGGTTCTGTTCTACATTTTGTGTTAACGATCGTGCTTCTGGACCGTGCGTCACAGCTTCGTACGCACTGTGAATACAAACTCGACCATGAAAGTAGCGTACCAGTGTGCCGAAAGAAGAAAGTAAAAGAAAACATGATGAAGAGAATATATACGTGGTTATATATTATTGGTTCTTTCGGTAAAGTCGCGTAGAAGGGAAACAAAATAATAAAAATATCAAACAAAATATTTTTATGATTTTATTGTTTCCCTTCTACGTGACTTTACCGAAAGAACCAAGAATATGAATCCCTGCAGTCACGAAAGCTTTAAATCAAAATTTATACGTGGTCAGTTGGCCTGTTTATCTAACATCAATCGCCGTTGTTTACCCACTACTGGATGGAGGCCTCTTGTCATTACACGGTGCTGATACCATCCATCTCCCTCCTGGGCACAAACCGATCTCATCGCTGCATCTCCACAGCAAGGGTACTAACCCATCGATATATTTGCC